GCGAACAAGACGAAAATGAAAAAGAAATAGAACGCACAACAGCGAACGGATTGGGATCCCTTCTCTTTTTTTTTTTTTTTCCTTTTTACAACAACTTTTTCCTCCTAACATTACCTATCGCCGGAAAATATAGTCAACGCGCGAGATACTACACTAAAAAATTCCTGCGAGAGACTACCCAATCATCCCAATCACCGTCTTTGTCAAAATCGTCCGCGAAGCACTGTTCTCGACCACGAGCCACGAGATGCATTGCCCAAATCGACTAATATTGTCCAGGCACACATGCAGTGAATGATTACTACACAATACCGTGATATGATATACTAGGGTGATATGCATTCCCCAAATCGACTGCGCATGGGACGGCAATGCACAGCGAAACAGATCGGTTACTTACTACTGCTCACACAGCATTTGCAACCGTACGATTCTCAACCTCCTCATTTTCATGCTGATGCCACCGTTGTTTGCTGCTGCCGCTGAATGCCGCCATTATTCTCAACCTACATACAGTACCATATTCATTGCACCTCTCTCTCTCTCTCTCTCTCTCTCTCTCTCTTTTTCTCTCTCTCTCGCACTATTGCTGAATGACCTACATACAGTACCATATTCATTGCACCTCCTCCCTCTCTCTCTCTCTCTTTTTCTCTCTCTCTCGCATTATTGCTGATGCCACAGCTATTGCTGCTGCCGCCGAATGCCGCCGCCATTGGAAGCGGCGATTATTTATCTACGGTTAGCATATTCATCGTCTCTCTCTCTCTCTCTCTCTCTCTCTCTCTCTCTCTCTCTCACACACACACACACACACACACACACACACAGAGCGGAGGCAAAGATTACATCGCTCCATCCCGTTTCGATACTATCGCCGCCATCCTACAGTCCGCCCACAGTTCTCCACTCACTAGATATTGATTCGGTCGCGGCTTCTCTCTTCAAAAAGCACACATTTCCCTCGCCTTCTTTCCCCAGCATAAAGTGCTAAAGTGCTTTCAGCATTCGCTGTACATAATGCCAAGAAACAAAATCACTTTTGGAATACTGTGTTCTTTTAGTGTTCCTGAATTCTGTAAATGCTGCGTAAAGCAAACTTAATATAATCACATACATATTCTAAACACCAGATATACAGGAATCTGATATAGTGTAGCCTAAATAAGACAAATCCCGCATCATGACATGTTACCAGAAGACAAGCCCAGATGCACTTTACTAGGGCACGAAAACTCCAACACATTGATTTCAATTAAAAAAAAAAAAAACTAGGGCACGAAAACTCCAACACATTGATTTCAATTAAAAAAAAAAAAAAAAAAAACTCCAACACCGCCCATCATTAGACTTCCCTAGTCTCATCGTATCTCAAAGGGATTACCAGCGAACGCGCATCATCTCCCAGGCAAAAAAATCATCAATACCGCAAGCAATCACCATCGTATACAAACCCTCTTCCGGTCCAAGTACAGTCATAACGTGGGGGCATTTTCTTTGGGAGACGGTAGGAGCAAGTCTCCTTGAGCACCCTCTTCAAACAACGACGTTCGAGAACTCTCGAAACAGTCGAGCAAGAGAACCAAGACTCCGTATTCAGTGCTGACGTCATCAGAAACCCGCACCACCAGCAGAAACGAAACGCATGGCAGCATTTTTAACCATCCTTCAAAACGATGACGTCATCCTAAACAATCAAAACGCAAGCGCTTTGCTCAACTCCCACTACCTCGCTGGTTATGATTACGTCCTCCGCCGCAATTTTCAATTGTCATGCAAGAACCTCACTGAGGTTATGATTAGTTCCTCCGCCGCCATTTTCAATTGTCATGCAAGAACCTGTACCACATCCTCGTCATCATTCGTGATCAGTCCGAAATATTCATCGCCACAAATTCGACCGCCGCATATTACACATGTTCGTGTTCACTGGTGGGTACCTCCACACAGGTCGACAGTCATCATCATCGTCGTCGTTTTCGTTTATAACCTACGCCTTCCATGGACGACAAACTCAACCACCTCGTCTCATTATAAAACCTCATTGACATCATTCAAACCGTCTCTCTTTCTCACCTCGAACAGGCCTCATTCGATCATTTTATAATTTAAGCAGTGACTCGTTTAAAAACAAAATTAAAAAAAAAAAAAAAAAAACATCCTCGTATCGCAAGTTTCGCCGTTGAATTACCTCTCGTACGACGTTCTAATTGTTAGGTTCGCCACTGTTGCTCAGTATACTACATACACTAGAAGCACTATACACGAGCACTATACACTAGAAGCACTATACACTAGAAGCACTTCACGCATCTCTACATAGCACGGACTCTACTATAGTCATCCTTGTATCATCGCCATACCTTAATATCTATCTCTAGATAACACGGACTCTACCTCAGCCATCATTATATCATCGGTGTAGTCAGCCATCATCATATCATCGCCGTACTTGAGGAGAACTATCACTACATAGCACGGACTCTACCTTAGTCATCATCATACCTTAGTAGCACTCTATCTGTACATAGCACGGATTCTACCTTAGTCATCATCATACCTAAGTAGCACTCCATGTCTACATAACACGGGCTTTACCTTAGTCATCCTTATTTCATCGTTAGATTCACTCATGAGACCATGTTCGCCGTCTTCAGCTCATCTCTACGTAAACACACTGCATCCTCTATGAGAAATAAATCCCTGCCTCATTCATGCTGCCATCACTGACATCGACACCTCTGGCCAAATCGAATCATTGGGGCCTTCCTCACACTAAAACTAAAATTAAAATATGAAAATTAATCCTAAACCTTTCCACGTTACACGTGGGGACTTCGACTACATCCGGTACAAATTAAAAACGCGGAAAGAGAGAAGTCTTCTCCCCCTCACCCCCGCCGCCAAGTCAAGGACGACCAGCACGTCACAGAAAAGTGAGGCAAAAGGAGAAGGGGGGGGAGGGGGGAAGGGGGAGAGGAGGCGCGGCGAAGGAGAGCGGGTGGCAAACAAAATATCAAATACAACACATGTACGACGAATCCTCGAGAAATTAGACGAACAGAGTTCCGCCACATGACCTTTGGCGTGTTGCAGCCACACGTTATCGCCCAGAAACACATACTTCAAACATCAGTACGAATGGAGAAGTTGAAATGCCCCACTCTTTCGTTAAACTCGCATAGTCTCCTCGGGGAATGTTCAGAAAAAGCTACAGAAAAAAAAAAAAAAAAAAAACATTGTACCCACACGCTTTCCCATTGTTCCCTCCCCATCTTGTCTTGAATGCTGTTTACCATAACAGAATGAGTCCGTCTTCTGTCTAACCATATCTCGAAGGGTCTTTCCGGCAGCAGCCTTCTTCCCCCGAATACAACGTACAATCATGATAGCCGTATTTAGACTGAAAGATACGCCAAATACACAGTTCGATGACCGCACGTTGTATTCGGGGGAAGAAGGGTAGGCGGCTAACATCAGTTCCTTGGCGCTTGTTGCCGCCAGAGGTTGCACATCTCTCAAATGGCGTTGCCTTTTGAATAGAGAAGCACAAGAGTGCAAGCTGGCTGGCGTTCCAAATATTTATTTACAACCAATACAATTTTAAACCCAACGACACCATACATGATAAAACCACA